ATACGAGTGTAATGGTGACTAAAGGGTGTTTTTTCATGTCCTCTATGCTCTAACTATGAAAATATTTGATTTACAAATAAGGAATCCTACTTCGCAGAATTTCATTTATCACGGTAGGGTCTAGAACCGATTAACCGCGATAAACAAGGGTTCACTGAACTCTTTTTTTCCTGGGGTGGTGGCGATCATATTATCTACACAAGATTAGGAGTAAGATTGACTTTGTAAGTCTCATTTCTAACCTGTGTTAGTTAAGATCCATCATCAGGCAAAGTAGAAAACCTCCCAACCATCTTAATAGAGAAAACTGAATTCTAAAGATCCACTTAAAGGATTTGAAAGGCACAGAAGGAATGTGGAGGGAGCGGAGAGATAATACCTCTTAGAAACTACATCCTAACTTCTAGGGAAATCAACAAAGTGAGGCTGGAGTTATTAACCTTTAGCAGCTTGAAGAGTATCCTTTGGGAATCTATTCAGACCTTTCAGGAGGGATGTCAGCATGACTAGTATTGGTACCACTGAGGAGATGCTGTGAGCCTCGTTCGGAGTGCAGAACAACGCTGGACACGAGAAACCACTGCTGCTACTGGAGTGAAGAGTTATTGAGGAGGTGAGACTGACAAGAACGTACAACATGCAGAAGGCACAATTCTCTTTTCCCTCCACAGCCTTCCAGCTCCTCTGAGAAATATGTATGCTGAGTGCAAGTGACATCACAAATTCAGGAACTGAGTGTCACTTGGGAACTGAGACACAAACACAAGCAGGCATCTTAGTATGGGATAATAAGTGGATATATCCATACATTAGTAGATAAATAGCAGAAAATTGTGTAAGTGGAAAGTATATTATGAACATGGAAAAGTTTAGGGTTAACGTTAACTAATGGTGCTTAATGTCATATGTAACTCTAAAGCAAATATTAAGGAAATGAATGACCAGAATTCTGAGGTTAAAATACAGTCTCTGAGGGAGGGGTTCCCACTTGCCTGGCAGATCGCAGTACTGTGGTGGCCTATCTGTTGCTGTGTTGCTGGAGGCTGTGCCTGCCATTGGTATTCAAATACCAGCAGAGTCACCCCAAGTGAACAGATTTCAGTAGAGCTCCTAGACATAGATCAGATGGCGAAGGGGTAATAGGCTGTCCAATTCAGAGGAATTAGTCACTGAAACCTTATGGCCACACTGGAACACTTTCAGATAATGAAAGCCTGGTGAATAGCAACAGAACACCATCAGAAAGGGCAAGCAGAGGAGACCTTCAGGTCCGAAGGCCCGCCAACTATGACAGAGAAGAGCTGTCTCCTCCAAGCAGAGTAGATAGATCATAATGGCATGAATGGAGTAAAAGCTGCCAGAACAGAAGCCTTCTGGACCTTCATTGGCTGATGAGGTAAGACACAAAATAAGAGCAAATAGCTGTAAACATTCATTAATAACTGGATCTTGGAATGTACAAAGCATGATTCTAGAAAAATTAGAAGTTGTCAAAAATGAAATGGAATGTATATAGATTGTTACGCT